GTGCTCACTTTCAACAACAGGTCGTTGCGGCACCTACTGTTGAAAGTAAAAAAATATTTTTTTTATTAATACCCACTTTCAATAGATTGAAAGTAAGAAAATTTAAATTTTTTAATTAATTTAAACATTTTATTTTATTTTAATGTCACCCACTGGTGAATGTTAAAATAAAAGATTGAAAGTAAGAAAATTTAAATTTTTAATTAATTTAAATTTTATTTTATTTTAATGTCACCCACTGTTGAATGTTAAAAATTTTATTTTATTTTAATTTTTTAACATCGAGTTAAATTAGACCCGATATTAAAAATAGTTTCTACAGTGGTTAAATTTTTAACCAATGTTAAAAGTCTCATATTGACAGTAAATATTACAAAAATATCATCACCTTTGCTCTCAATAGAGGGAATATTTCAATTGATGTTAAAATTTTTTTGTAAAAGATAAATTTTTAATCAATGTTAAAAGTTTCTCGTAAAAGATGAATTTTGCACTAGTGAATGAAGGCTCATCGTGAGAACTTATTTTAATGATTCAAATTTAAAATTTTCAACATGTAATTTTTCAGGTAAAAATTATTTTTTTTTAAGAGTAACATTTATAAAACTATTTTTATTTTATATTTTATACCTATTAAAATAATAATTTGTCAAAAATATAATTATATTAAATTGGGACTGTTTCAAATTAAACTTGAAAGCTATCTAGATTGGTGCTCATCACAATCAATTGCCCCCACGAGAAGATATTTTAATATGAATGGACCTTAAACATCTGATCCATAAAGCACGCCTATTGCGTGGGCTCATTCTACGAATCTTTCCACTAACTCGTCTGTATTATCCTGTCGTTTTTTTTTTTTTTTCAAATATTTAATATTTAAAATGACTGATAATTGAGAAGTCTAATATCTTACCCTCCAAGAAATTCACGGCTCTCCAACTTCGACTGACACTGACTACATCACTGTAATCAACTCGTCAAAATTAACATCTTGAAAACATGCCATAAGGACCAAGAAAATCAAATATTTAAATATAAATCTCAAAATTAGAAATTAACCCTGTAAAGAACCATGGTTCTTGAGGGATAACATACTTTTCACGGAAATTTTCAAAATACCCTTCCTTTTTTTTTTTGTGCAATAGTCTCCAGAGTATAGATTATTAAAAATTTATGGATGATTTCAACATATCAATGCAAAACAAGAAGGGCATTTTGTTATTTTATCTGAAAACATATTGTTGTTTCAGGACCATGGTCCCTGTAAGTTTATTTCTTCATTTGAGACTTATAATTCAAATAATTGAGCCTAAAGTCTTTTTGGTCCAATTTTTCCTGACAGCTTCGACATGCCCTTACAGTTCTTCCTGTTCGAAAGAACACAATTTAACAAAAGATAAGTACTCCCTTCATTTTTTTTATATAAACAAAACCACATATTTTAATAAATATTTATTATATATTTCCTAAATCATTTCTCATAATTTATATTAATTAAAAATAATTAATACATACTTATATTAATTAACATAGGATATTTTAGTTTAATTTTTTTATTTTTAATATAATTACTATGGTTAATTAACTTTTTTTAAACTGTGTGATACAGTTTTTCTCTTATATATAGAAATAAAAGAAATACTCTCATTCATTTACTTTAAAAAAATTATTTTTATTTATAATAATTAGTGATAAAATTGAAATGTTGTTGTACTTTTAATTAAATAATCAATTTCTATTGGTTTGTATGATTTGGTTAAAAATATTTTATATATTGGATAGAAGGCGTAATAATATGCAATTTGAATCTCGAACTACAAATCCAAAGACAATTTGAACCCCAAGCTTTTATTTGTTATATTATAAACCATAAACAATTAAAGTTAAGATAACTTTACTATGCTGTTAAATTTAAACAAATGGCCGTTATTTTAATAAAAAATGAGGTTCAATGTGTAATTTTTCACAAAGGAGGGTAGGAGAGAGAGAGAAAGGGAGAGTAAAATTTAATAAAAATTACACATTAAGCCCTATTCTTTAAAAAAAAGTAATAGCTGTTTCTCTAAATTTAATGACGGAAATGAAATTATCCCAATTTTAATTATTTAAAATTAAGAATGTATCAAATAAAATTTTAAAATTTAAATCATCCTTAAACCTATAATTTAGAGTTTAAATTGTATATTAATTTAAGAAAAAAAATGAGAAGAAAATATGAAGGAGAGAAAATTAAGAAAAAATTTTAAACACAGTAAAAAGAGTTTTCTACTAGTTTTCCTCCTTCCTTATTATTATTTTTTTAAAATCCATCCAAACAGAAAAAAATATAAAAAGTAAATCAACCTGTTAACCAAAAATTTTAACACTTAAATGGTTAATCAATAAAATTGAGAGCCTTTTAGAATAATCCAAACAATAAACCAATGTGTTGGAAGCATAAACAGCACTCGCACACATTCATATATGTATGGATAATCAAATAAGAATGATGGGAACATTATTTCAAAGGATCAAATTTAGATTTTTTTTAAAATTTAGAAATTATCTTCATATTTACGATAATTTTTAAAATTTTAGAACGCAGATATTAGTGTGTTATATATTTTAATATTTTAGAAGATAAATATGGGTATTTTTAATTTTAAACAAGAAACAAAATGTGCAGACAGAGCAGCCACCCACCTATGACTAAAATAACAAAAATAGGTTGAAAATGAATATGTTTATTTTTATTTCTTTTAACTTGCTCATTTTGGTATTTTTCTATTTTAATTTAGACAATACAATCATCGCCATAAATTTAAATTAAAATATATTCTAATTTACTGTTTAGTATAATTATATTAATATTATATATTCTGATATTTCATCTTATTATATTAAATCATTTTCAATTAAAACTTTTTATATAAAAATTCATTAAAATATTTTTAAAAGGTTAATATAAAATTTTTATAACAAAAACCAGAAACAAAATAAAAAGAATTGGAAGATTTAATTATATTTAATTTAATAATTAAAGTCATACACGTTCAACAATATATAATCCATTTAGTATTTATTTGAATTTCAGTTAGATATAATAGATTATAAAATAATTAATTAAATAATAAATTTTAATTATAATTGATTATATTATAATGTAATCTATTTGGATGCTTATACTAGTAATTTTTTTAAAAATCTAAATTTTACTAAGAAAAAAAAGAGAAGAAAGTTTTGTTTTTTTTATTAAATTTTGTGCCTTTTTTGTGATTTTTTTTCTTAGACCTTTTATGTAATTTTTTTCATATAACTTTGCAACAAAAACACGCAGAAGCTGAGAAGCTGAAACTTGGAGCTTTGGGAAAAAATTGATTTTGTGGGAAAAAATTGATTTCGGAAAAAGGTTGGTGTTTGGGTAAATTATGGATTAATTGATTTTTTCCTCTAAAATCAATTAATCCCTGAATCCAAACGGGCGCTTAGCCAGCCAAGCATGGGCTAATTTTTTTCCCTGTGAAAAAAATAACTGAAAATTGTGAAATGAGAATCCTAAGTTCACCTGCTGCTCTAACCTGCCCTCCAAGAAATTCACGGCTCTCCAACATTGACTGAGACACTAATTGTCACTCTAATCCTGTAACCCAATTCATGTCTAAAAGAAGTCAAACAACACAATCCAATGAAGACCAATCCTTAAGATAAAGCCAACTTGGCCAACTTGGCCAACATGTTGATTTTCAAGAAAGTCTCAGAGTTTTATACATATATAACGTGACCCAGTACTACAAACCGACCGCATTACATTGCATCTGCTTCTAAAAACAGAGTCTTGCAATACACACACACACACACACAGAGCCGCAGACAGATGGATTCTATGGAAAGAGGAGGATCAAAGCCCCACGTTGTGATCACTCCCTTTCCAATTCAAAGCCATTTGAACACCTTCTTGAATTTAGCCAAACTGCTTCATTCGAGAGGCCTTCACATAACATACGTTAACACTGAGTACAACCATAGACGCTTGCTCAACTCAAGGGGTCCTCGAGCTCTTGATGGCCTCTCAGATTTTCGCTTTGAAAGCATCCCCGATGGCCTTCCTCATACTGAAGCAAACACTACCCAGGATTTACCTTCTTTATGTGAATCTACCTCAAAGAATTGCCTCCCCTATTTTACAAATCTTCTCAAGAGGCTTCAAGAGTCTGCCTCTAATGGCCTTGTGCCTCCTGTTACTTCCTTGATTTCCGATGCTGTCATGACATTTACCGTTAAAGCTGCTCAAGAATGTGGACTTCCTATTGCTTTGTATTGCCCTATAAGTGCTATTTCTTATTTGGCTGGTTGGCATGCTCGCACTCTTCTTGATAAGGGTATCATTCCCTTGAAAGGTACGTAACCCATTGATGTCCTTAATTCTTCTTATTTTTTCCCCTAATTGCTTTATTTTTGTGTGTGTATAACCCATTAATGTTACTCGTTGTCTTGTGTGTGTGGGGTTCATGTGTCTTTTCTTTGGTCTATTCATTAAAATGATGAATCTTCAACAACATTTTGTTATTCCATTATTGCCGCAGATGAGAGCCAACTGACAGATGAATACTTGGATACAAAACTAGATTGGCTTTCAGGAATGAAAAATATTAGATTGAAAGATCTTCAAAGCTATGCAAATGATTACCTAATGCTAAACTTTGTTATCAATGAGCAGCAAACAGCAAGAGCTGCTCAAGCCATCATTTTCAACACATTCAGCGAGTTCGAGAGTGAGGCATTGGATACTCTCTCTTCTATCTTTCCTCCTATTTATACCGTAGGCCCTGTCCCACTGCTTTTAAATCAAATTCCACAGAACCATGACTTAGATTCCATTGGCTCCAATCTTTGGAAGGAGGAGACTCATTGCATCCAATGGCTAGAATCCAAGAAAGCTAAATCCGTAATTTATGTTAATTTTGGAAGCGTCACGGTTATGACTCCAGAACAACTACATGAGTTTGCTTGGGGATTAGCCAACAGCAAGAAATACTTCTTGTGGATCATAAGGCCTGATCTTGTGAAGGGTGGCTCAATGATTCTATCTCCTGAGTTTTTGAGTGAGACCAAAGAAAGAGGCCTCATAGCCAATTGGTGTGAACAAGAGGAAGTGTTAAATCATCCTTCAATTGGAGGGTTTTTAACACATTGTGGATGGAACTCCATGATAGAGAGTGTGTGTGCTGGGATTCCGATGGCTTGTTGGCCTTTCTATGGAGACCAGCAAACTAACTGCAGGTATGCTTGCACGGAGTGGGGGATTGGGATTGAGATTGATAATAACGTGAAGAGGCAAGTGGTGGAGAATCTTGTGAATGAGTTGATGGAAGGTGAGAAAGGGATGGAAATGAGACACAAGATCCTAGTGTGGCAAAAAACTTCAAAGGAGGCAATTAAATCTGGTGGTTCTTCTTACATCAACTTGGAAAATTTGATTAGTCAAGTGTTGATCAAAAGGAACAACTAAGTTGTTACATCAAAATATATTTTTAAAGTGTGGATTGAATTTATCAGAGTCATACAGGTAGTATTAGCTTTGATATATAGGCTTGAGTTTAGTCATTTTCAATAAGGTTTTGGAAGAACCAACGTAGTTATGTTGTAATATGTTTGATTGTGTATTAATTCCTCTTACAGAAATAAGGAGAGCCATCTTCACTTGTAAGCAAGTTTTTCCAATTACTAATTGTAATATTTCTTTCCTTATAGTATCCTCCTTCTAACACGTCTCTTACATTTGTGAAAAACTAAACCTCATTTAAGTTAGATTCGGTTTAGAAAGTGAATTTCTTTTTAAAATAATAAAGACATTTTTTTTTTGGATTGGACATGATTTAAAAATAAATCAAATTACCTCCAATCCAAACAACAAAATGTCCCTATTTTTTTTATCATTACATGAATTTTAATAATCTTAAAATAAATTAAAGTCACTACCAGTAACCACAACAAAGTTAGCACCTTTAGCATCCATAAATAAGAATAAACCATGATCAACAAAGTTCATATTTATTTTTACTGATTTGAAAACAGTACATAATGTATAGTACAAAGAGAATATCGAATCAGAACTTCGCTAAGCACACAAGCACATTATCTGTTACCTGATATTAGCTAGGAGCACGGAAATACCAAAAGAATTATAGATAATACCTTATACCACCCTCACTGTGACCTGGCTTATTTGTATTGTAGATAACTAAATATTGCATTTTGTTCACTCTGCCCAAATGCTATTGCCACCCCTAAGGTAACTGTAACATAATGATATCCAATACAAGAAGTTTACAAGAAAAAAGTAGATCTAATCCGATATTAATATATTGTGTCATATAAGAAAATTCAGTTTGCAATAAAATTGATAACTTGCACCTAAATGCTTTATAACAAACAAACCTGGTCTTTGGACAAGGAATCAAGCAACGGAGGTTCGCTTTGCCCCCAAAAAGGAGAGGAATGAACTGGAAAATGACGGAACAGCCTGTATGAAGAAATGAAGCCTACATAATAACTTCCAAATTTCCATCAGGATCAAACATAAAGGAATCTAGAAAAGCAACTTTTCCATTTTTTGACATGAGGGATAAATCTGTTACACGCAAATTGCTTTTTTACCACGCTTTCTGCCCCGACACACACACACACATGCTTGTACACGTTAAGTTCAGTGTTCCGGACAAATTAAGAAAAATCAGATTGCGGTGGAAATTTTGCTGATATGGAAAAACTTTTGCACCAAAATTACCAAGTGTATAACTTGAAGAATACCAACAACCAGATCAAAGGGAAATACAAAGATAATTATAGCTAAATGAAACCTTTCAGAGGCTCAACATGACAACCAGAGGAAGAAAGGCTGTAATGGAACAAGCTTAATCATCCAGCAACCAAATTATTTTTCTAAAAGAAAAAAATTGAATACAGAGGAATTGTATAATAAACTAAATGGATTTCCTACACCTATGATTTTCATCTTTACACATTCCATAAAGATCAACCAACCGCAAATTGCACTTGAGATGTGAAGAACTATTAATGATGAGGGAAGTGCAACAGTCTTTTTGTTGTCATTTCAAGTTCCAAGATGCTCCCAGATGATTGAACATCATTTAAGCATTGTCAATTTTTTGGTCAAAATCAGTTCCTCATTGGCAGCAAGATTCCAGAATATATATAGATTCATACCAATGAAATTCCTAAAACCGTAGATGATATAAAATTGGATGAAACATCTTAAATTCGTGAAAGCATACTTGAGAACATATCATCAGGACAAAGCTGCACTCATGTCTCACTCAACCGCCCACAAATCAAAATCAGAGAAATCAGAAAATAAAAGTCTTGGCAATATAAAAACTGTAGCAATAACATCCTTAGCATTCTCTCGGGCAAGTCATTGGCTCTCCTCTTCGCTGAGATTTTTCCACAAGAACTTCTCATCATCCGTGAATTGTATAATGAGAGGAACCTTAAAAGCATCTTGCAAATACCTAGACACAGTTTCAACAACGTTAACACCTTTTAAAAACACAATGGTTTAATGTAATTCTTCATTTTCTTCAGTCAAAAAATTTTAAAAGTATATGCTAATTTACAAACTTTCGTTTCTCTCGCTGCCTCCTTTGTTACAGGATCAATTGAGTTATATCTCTATATAATGATTGATTTTTTCTCTTATAACTGCCGAACACAAACTCTACTTGCTTTGTAAACATAAACGGAACCAGACGACCCAGATGAAGCTTCGGAAGATGATAATGACACCAAGGGCTGGGATCAACTGAGTTGTGACAGGCTTCCTTGCAAAGCATCATATGACCTGCATCGTAAATTTAAAAATAATTAATTTTACATTCCAAAACAAAAATTAATTAATTTTAAGAGCTAGTAATATGGACTAGCACGCAGATTGCAGGCTGACCTGCAGCAGGTTTGGCAGGACAGACTAGCATAACCCACATTCGTTTAGATTGTATTTCTGCCAACCTGTCAACTCGGAGTGGGATGGTGGGTTGGTGGACTAATCCACCAATAAAACATAATTTTTTATAATGTTTTTCAATTTTAAAAATTACAAATTCAGTATTAATTATTTTAGCATATAGACGATAATTAATAAAATATAAATATAATAATAATGTCTTTTTTATATTTAAAGGAATCATCTGAAATTCACAAATTCTCTTCAACTGGAGCCTCTTAATTCCAATCGAACTTTCTTAGGCTTTAAAATATTTAATGTAGATGATAAAATCAAGGAGTAATATTTTAACAACTCAACTTCAAACAGATAAAAAGTAATGTTATGAGAACCGGACCAGTTATTGAATTGATTGAGGTACTAGTTCATGGTTCAATGGTCAAACGGCAGTTTGAACCGTGGTTCAACCGGTGATAAATAAATTAATATATTTTAAATATTATATATTTAAAATATAAAGGAATAATCACATATAATAACAAAAATGAATGTCTAAATTTCAAACAAAATAATATATAACAAAAAATATAACATCCATTAATATTACATAATTTTCATGCAAAATATATATGAGTATTTCATAATTCATAATTTATAACTTTAAAATATATACACATATGCATAATTCATACATATTTTTTGCATTTTTTATTTCATAATACTTATTAGATATAAATATGTATAAATCATAATTTAAAAATATGAATTAAAATACAAAAAATAACATAACCGGTCCTTACCCGGTTTTGGCCGGTTTTTGGCCGATTCTGCCTATTTTTGACCGGTTTTTGATGATGACCGGACCGGACTAGGGACTGGTTCCCGGTTGAACCGGCTGGTCCGGTCCGGTTCTAGTAACTGATAAAAAGGAATCAAGGTAATTGGTTTTTTTTTTTTTTTACCGACAAGGTAATTTATTTACTCGCACATCTACTCCAGTCAAATGAAACTGGCTACTTCCGATTTTTCTTAAGCTATGCATGTAAATAATCACTTTTTGATTTTAGGATTCTCATTGGGCATATTAAAAATATAAATCAAAATGGTCCAAGTTATGCGGTGCGGCCAAAACTGGCCCCGCGTTTAAATCAACCGTTTTCTCCAACCGAACCCGCCACAATTTTGCAAGTTAGGAGAACCCATATTACAGCTCTAGATTTTATGGAGATAATATATTCAATGATAATGAGACAAAAAGGAAGAAGACACACAACAAGAGTAAAACAATCCCAGCTGATACGAAGTTTTTAACAATAATAACGGTTACAAGTTCATATACTAATCAAATTAGATTCTCAGTCCAGTAACTGCTAAATTTCTACCCGTTCCTCCACCAACACTAAAGGGAAAGAGAGAAACAGCGTTCCCGAAGATGAAGTTCAAGGCTACCAACAACAAGCATCACTAATACAAGCCATTAAACAGGTAGATAAGCAGCAGGGGGCACAGAACTAAGTATGCACTAATATTGCGTGCGAGACAATATCACTGACAACAAAGCAGTGTCTGGAGAAAAGAATCAAGGCAAACAAGATATCAAAGAAAGTTAACTATTAAAGACACTTCTTTTCCAATTGAACAGACTTGCCTGATTCTCTGACCAGTATGAGACCCGTGAACCCCATCGACGAATAAGTAGACAGTGGGGAATCCCTGAAAATCGTACCCATGAGCCAATTAATTCTCCTCCGTTCCATCCACCTTCGCCAAAACTGCCACATTCTCAGACCTCAACTCAGTTGCCGGGGCGGCGTAATGTGGCATTTTTAAGGGTTTAGGATCACCAGAGAAGTTGAGAAAAGTTGACTAGTAGAACCGATCAATGTTTTCTGACCTTTGCACGACGCCGTTGATTGAGAATTTGGGGTTTTGGTCCCACGATCTTGGCCGGCGGTTCTCAGCTGCTCCCTCTTCAACGTCGCTCGAATCAGTCTCTCCCAATTTTCACGACCCATAGCCACGTTGCCTCCAGCACCGACCAAAGCAACCGATGCCCAAGGTGGTTTCTACCGGAGAGGGGCTCCGAAGAGGACACAGATATGACGATGGAGGTGGGGGAGGCAGAGAGGAGGGGGCGCCGAAGAGAGGAAAAGAAGAGAGAACACGGTTTGAGTAAGTGTGGGCAAGCGTGAGCCCCGACGTTTTCCTCTTTTACTTTCTAACCCGGTCCCCGGTTATCTTTCCGGAGTCGGCTTCTCCTCCTCTGCCTCTCTAGGAAAGGAAAATCTGCACCCAGATTTAACCTCAACAATTCAAATTTAATAATTTTATTTTTATTTTTTATTTATATTTTTAAATTAAAAAATATATAAAAATTTAAAAAAAAATTTTAATAAATATATTTATTAATCTTGCAGTCCAAATTTAATATAAATAATTTAAAATTAATTTTAAATTATTTTAATAAATTTATTGTTCTGTTCAGAATATATTTATACTGTTCATAGAATATATCTGAAAAGCTAATTTAAATTTTTTATATTAAGTTTAAAGCATCTATATTAAATATGAACTTTCAGATTAATTAGTATATTTATTTAAAAAAATTTAAAATTTTTATAATTTTTTAATTTAAAAATATAAATAAAAAATAAAAATAAAAATATTAAATTTAGACGGTCCAGATTTTTCTCTGCTTCAAAGAAGAGGTAGAGAAGGCTTCTCTCAAAGGAGAGAAGCCGACTCCTATCTTTCCAAACAATCTAAATTAAATTAAATTTAAAAAAATTATGGTGAGGGCCCTTAATTAGAGATAATAAAAAAAAATTTAAATTTTTAAAATTTTACTGAAAGATTCACACAAAATTTCTTTCAAATTTGCAACGAAAATGATAAAATTATCCTCATTTAAATGAATAACATAAATAACTTATTTGTTTTCTTATTATATATTGTTTATTTATCTATAAAATATTGTTCGTTTTCCTATTTCACTTGTTTACAATCTTACTTTCACTTGATTTTATTTCAATGTCATAAACAAGTAAAGTAGGGAAATGAATAACATTTTATAAGCAAATGAACAACATACAATATGAGAACGAATAAGTCGTCTCATCATAAACCATCACTTAAAATGAAATTAAGTGAAATTAGAGCTATAAACAAGTGAAATAAAAAAATAAATAATATTCCATAAGTAAACAAATAACAGACAGTATAAGAATAAATAATTCATTTATATTGTTCATTTAAATGAGAACAATTTTGTCATTTCTATCACAAATTCAAACAAAATTCTATAAGGATCCTTTAGTAAAATTTTAAAAATTTGAGGGCCCTCTTTTTTATTATCTCTTATTAAGGTCCTTTACTGAAATTTTTCTTTAAATTTAAGTCCCACTATTTTTAGATATTTTAAAAAAATCTTTCTTTCTTTCTTTCTTTTTTTAAATTGCTCAGGTGTGCCTTTATACAAGCCTCATCCCCTTTGGGGATGTGATGTTAAATTCAACAAACCAAACCATTGAAAGCTGGAAAGTTCTGGACACAAACTTCCAAGATAGCTGCAGAGCAAGGTATTGGGTAGAGTCGAGAATAAGGGCCGGGCTTGACGGGCCGCCCATTTAAGCCCGTTTTAATAAGGATTCGGGCTTAAGAATTTGGCATTTTTTAGGATAATCGGGTTTCGAAGCCCGGCCCTTTTAAGCCCTAGAAAAACGGGTTTGGGCCCGGGCGGCCCGTGAAGCCTGTTTTACTATTCACAAAGTATTATTTTCACCTCTTTCTAGATAATGTGCAAACATTGATTTGTATTTTGTACCAACAATTGATTGAATTGTTTTGTGCGTATAGTAATTTTTATATTTTATCTTGTGATATATGTATATCTATATATATATATATATATATATATTTAATAATAAAACAATTTAATTAATAATTATTGTAGGTGATGATGAAGAAGCTGCAGAAATAATTAATATTGAGCCTCCGCCTCCATCTTTCACAAGTGGACCTACATCTGAGGGTTTTAATATTTTATTTATGGATGATAATAAGGGAGATCTTGATTAGGATTAATGATGATGTTTGCCTTCATCTTATTTGGACTTTTAAATTTTTTGTTCATTTTTTAAATTATGTGAGACTTTGGTTTGATATATGTTAAATTTTAAAATATTCTAAATAAATTTTAATGTTAAATTTTATTTTTTTATTTTATTCTTATCCGGGATTACGGGCCCGGCCCTGAGCCCTATGAATAAGGGCCAGGCTTCAATTTTAGGGTAAAATTGGGATAACCGGACTTTAGGGCCTAGGCCCATAAGGGCCGAGCCCATATGGGTTAGGCCCGCCCGTTTACCAACTCTAGTATTGGGGAGGAAAAAGGAGGAAAAAATGAAAGGAGAAAAAAAATTAAAAGAAGATGAAATTGAGAAGAAAATAATATATAAGATTATATATTTTTATTTTAAATATTTTTTTAGATATGTGAAGATTTTAAGGAGAAAATTTAATTTTTAAATTTATCCATAAATTTTGTTGTTCTCTATTGTTTCCCTCCATTTTTATCCTAATTTTTCTTCAACTTTAAAATTTAAATTATTATATATTTATTAATTTAAGAAATAAAAATTAAAATTGAACAAAATTGAAATTTACAGTTATATTTTTTAATATATATAAATATTTTTTTATAAATAACAAGATTATTATTGTGTATATGAAATTAAAAAAAAATTATTCTTCCTATTTCTTCTAGAAAATTACATTCATCTACTCTTTTTTTTCTTTCTGTTTTCTATCTTCACATCTCTCCTTTCTATTTTTGCTTTGTGAGCCAATTAGCAAGCATTAAATTTCCGCGCAAAAGAAAGCAAATACAGCATATAAGACCATTGTTTTGACCGCTTGACTATCAAGCGGGGGAAAAAATTTGCTTGATGATATTGAAACCTAAGTTGGCTTCACCCAATATTATGAATCATCGATCGTCTTTGACCGATCCTGACGAATACGTAAAACACGACTTTTCTCCGCTCATCTATCAAATTCTATTCTTTCACATGTACTATTCCAGATGAGACAAAACCTGCCAACTTTGAAAAACTCTGTATATATTGTGGACTAATATAATAGCCTCTCTCTCTCTCTCTCTCTCTCTCTCTCTCTCTCTCTCTCTCTGTTTTTTTGAACCCTTCTGAAATTTCACTTACTTATCGCCTAATCCGCAGCCTCAGCTTCAAACAAAGCCTTGAAGACACAAGCATGGCGTCGGTTGCCGGAGGAGGATCAAAACCCCATGCTGTAATCACCCCATTTCCTTTACAAGGCCATATAAATTCCTTCTTGAAACTTGCCAAAGTGCTTCATTCTAAAGGCTTTCACATAACATATGTCAACACCGAGTTCAACCATAAGAGCTTGTTCAATTCAAGAGGTCTTCAAGCCCTTCATGGCCTCCCAGATTTTCGCTTTGAAACCATCCCTGATGGTCTTCCTCCTTCTGATGCTAATGATAATGATGCCCAACGATTTCATTCTTTATGTGATTCTATGCAAAATAAAAGCTTCTCGCAAGGCTTCATAAGCTTGCTTCTGATGGTGTTGTGCCTCGAGTCACTTGCTTGATTTCTGATGGGATCATGACGTTCACAATGAATGCTGCTCAAGAATTTGGACTTCCTATTGCTCTCTATTGGCCTGCCAGCACTGTTTCCTTTTTGGTTGCTTTTCACTTTCGTACTCTTCTTGATAATGGTGTCATTCCCCTAAAAGGTATCTTAGCTTGCTTATGTCACTACTTTTATTCTTTTGTCTATGGTCCATTTGTTTGAAGTAATTAGATCTTCAACTACTTATTGTGATCATTGTATTGGTGTAGATGAGAGTTACATGACAAATGGATGCTTGGATACTGAATTAGATTGGCTTCATGGAATGAAAAATGTTAGACTAAAAGATATTCCAAGTTTTGTTAGGGTAATAGATTCAAGTGATTTCATGCTAAACTTCCTTATCACTGAGCTACAAAGAGCCCAGAAAGCTCAAGCAATCATTTTCAACACATTCAAGGAGTTGGAGAGTGATGCCCTTAATACCCTATCCTCTATCTTTCCTCCTCTTTACTCTATTGGCCCTCTCTCTTTACTGCTCACTCAAATCCCACATAACCACCAATTGGAATCCATTGGCTCCAATCTCTGGAAAGAAGAGACTCAGTGCCTCGATTGGCTAGAAGCCAAGGCACCTAAATCTGTGGTTTATGTGAATTTTGGAAGCATCGTGATTATGTCTCCAGAACAATTGTAGGAGTTTGCTTGGGGTCTAGCCAATAGCAGGAAACACTTCTTGTGGATCATAAGACCAAACCTTGTGGAAGGAGGCTCAATAATTCTATCGCCTGAGTTTCTAAGAGAGACTAAGGATAGAGGTTTCATAGCCAGCTGGTGTGAACAAGAAAAGGTGTTGAACCATCCGTCTATTGTAGGCTTCTTAACACATTGCGGGTGGTACTCCATGATGGAAAGCATTTGTGTAGGTGTTCCTATGGTATGTTGGCCTTGGGTTGGAGATCAGCAAACAAATTGTAGGTATGCTTGCAAGGAGTGGGGAATAGGGCTTGAGATTGATAATAATGTGAAGAAAGAAGAGGTGGAGGTGCTTGTGAATGAGTTGATGGAAGGAGAGAAGGGGAAGAAGATGAGACAAAAGATTTTAGAGTGGAAGAAAATAGCAGAGGAGGACACTAAACCGGGCGGTACTTCCTACATCAACTTGGAGAATTTGATTAAGGATGTGCTGATCAAAACAAAAAACTAAGGTGTTGATAGAGTATCGATTAATATGGGATAACAAGTGATGCAGGAGAGTTAGAGAGATATGAGGAACAATTATTATTTTCAAGTTATTTTAAATATATTATCTGTTTAATAATATTTTTTGATTGTTTTTCTATTTTGTTGAGTGGTCATTAAGTTTAGGAGTTGTGGGTTATGGTATTTAGAAATTAAGTCAGAATTTATATTTATTTATTTTTCAGGTAGTTATTCCCCATTATCTTAGTTATAGATTAATGGGAATATTTTTAGGAATTATTAGTTATTTTTCTGTCTATAAATAGTGAAGCACATATCATGTAGACAGCATATGGAAATAAAATCATTATCTTTATAAATGGAGATTTTCCTTCAGCTTTATTAGTTGTATGAGTTTAAAATTCTTCCTCATCTTCTATTAAAAATTTT